CTGGACGCAGCTTGTCATTCATTTTTCAAGTGTGTGCAGGCCTGCTAAAGCTGACCTGCAAATTGGGAAAGAACGCAAACATTAATGGGTACACTGTCCTCTCTTCTAAGGCAAATCCTGGGATGACTGAGGCACTCTTCATTCCCATCAAATTTCCTTGGTTTCTCCAGGGAGCCACAAAAAGGGGTTTCTGGTCCTTGACTGAAATGAGAATATAATCTGACAATTTAGAAGAGCCCTACCAATTTCCCAAACACCGGTTGCTCTCCTTGCTTTACCTGGAGTCCCTCCAATGCAGTAGTCAGCGTGCTAAAGCCCTAACACGGACTTAGAAACACTTTCCTTTAAAAAATGCACGCAAAAGTGTTAACATCAACATGGTGTGAAGGGCCAGAGCAGGGGCTGCAGACAGGCAGCACCATTGGCTTTCCTCTGTTGAGATATTCCTCTCCATTTTTTGGAGAGAGAGCTGACCTCTTGTCAGAGCTCTTTGGATGAATCACTTTTCCTTTAGAAATGTTTTTACTGATTCTACAGCAACTGAATAAACTTAGAGAAGGAGAGGTTGCTGGAGGCAGGTGTGTAATTCACCTTCCCTGTTCCTTCAATAACTCATTCCCACAGGTAGATTTACAGTAACATACGAGATTATGTGTGAGTAGAAACACAACTTAACTTCTGCAGTGTCAGCAGCACCAAATTTGAATGAGAAACAAAGAAAAGCATGTTGTAAATGCTGGTTGAACAGGGAATGCCCTAAGATTGGAGCCACTGTAATTTCCCATGTATTAAACCACAGTGAATATGTGTTTGCATTCTTCCTACATATATTTGGTTGCTATTCTTAGATTTGTTATCACCAAATAGCATATGCATGCAATATTATCATCATATTACCAGCATATTATCAGCTCCTGGTTGTACACACAATCATTTAATTTCCTGATCTCTCTGAAACACCTTCTGCCATATGACTGACATGGAATAAAACTGAAGAGGGAAAAGATCAGTGAGGACACTGACCTGGTAAAAAGTTTGCTGAAGCCAGTCTGTTTACGAGGGATTACTACAATGTGCTGATTAAAGAGATTATGATTATCTCATTCTAAGAGATTTATCTGCTGTGATTTTGTGTACATAAATGCTTCACTGCAAGCAGCTAGAGGAAAAGCCATAGTCAGATAGTACCAAATCTACAAACAAAGTACTTGGGATAAGTGATAGGAAATCTCTTAGGAAGAAAAGAATATCTAGCCAGATGCCACTGAATCTTGGCTGAATCTTGGATGGGTAATATTTCATCTGACAAAGCCAGTGCTCAATCTCCATCTGGCAAGAACTGGCAAAACTCCAGTGACTGGCTGAAGAGCTGGCCTATATTCAGCAGAAATCCCACCTTTCCCTTCTGCTTCCGAAACACACCAGGCAGAAACTCAGGAAACCTAGCAAAGAGTCCAAGTCAGCTAAGCTCATGTGAGTCGAGGTGGACTGCCATAAAACAGCTTTCAGATCAGGCTTTGAGAAACCCTCTGGGGCTATAATGACACAAGATGCCACACACACAACATGGCTGTGGTAGGTCATAGCCTATCTACAATGTTGCAGATGTGAAAAATGGGGGAAATCCAGACCGACACATTTTACAGAATTATTAGTCCATGTATTATCTAAGCTAAAAACATAAATAAAAATTGCTTGAAGATTAAAGGCCAAACAGAGGTGATGTCAAACTCATGTCCAAGTAAAAAATCTCAAGAGAACAATTTGCTCCATGGCCAACCCTGACAGGGCAGAAGGGCCACCCCAAGTGATGCAGATGCAGGCAGCCAGGGCAGAGAGGCAGTGGCTGGCTTGTTCCATGCTGCCCTGATGGAGCAGATGCAGCTCCATGACAGAAGTTCCTCCAGCAAATCTTTCCCTGTGAGCAGGACACTTTCCCAGTTGATTGGTACTCTTGGAGTCGCTGGGGGGGTGGAACTGCTTAAATTGGGGTGTTGCAAAAACTTGCACTTCAGAGCAGACTCGTGACAGCCAGTTGTTTGTGATCATCTTTTCTGGCACTGCTACATGGAAGAGGTCTCTTTTAACTCCAGGCTCTGGCAGAGCAGCTCTAACAAATTTTACCACAGTGGTTTAAGACATCCCCTTTATCTTCAAGCACATCCAGACAGATGGGGCTACCCAAGAGCACCCCGGCTACCCAACTCATGCACAGGGGATTAGCCTGTCACACACAGGCACTGAGACAGCTAAAGGCACCCACACACTCTGCCACCACGTCACCTCATCCATTGCCTGATCTGGGGGGATGGCAATGGGGAGAATGGTGCTGCAAAATGATTCAGTGACAAAAATCACCCCGGCCAAGCCAAGAGCTGGAGTGCACACTGCTTGCTGATGGAGGTACGGCAACATGGTGTTCATAGGCTTCCAGCTCCTGGAGGGTCACACCGGGGAGGAGCTACTCACAACAGAGGTCACTGACAGCCCAAGAAGCAGCAGCCAAGTTCATTATGAAAGAGAAGCATCCAGACAGCCAGAGGAAATGTCAGTGATCATCTTCAGTGAAGCATTCCAGTTCACACCTCAGGAGAGATAGAAAGATAGATCTTAGGATCTCACAGTTTCTAGACCATGCTCCTATGCCTGTGTCTTTTATCTTTAATGCCTCTCTTTCCTGGGTAGCCCTATCCAACTGCCCCAGGGCCAAGCTCCTCTTAGGCTGTGAATCTTGCTGGCAAGAGTGGCGCTACTCCAGCCTTGATCTGACCACTGGGACACAAGTCAGGCAAGATGGTTTCAGACATGATCCTCTCATCATCATTGATTTTCCTGTCTGCTTGTGCTAACTGGTGGCAAGTCTCAGGCTTAGATGACCTGGGCCACAGAGGGAATCACTCCTCACCTTCCCTCTCCAGACCCTTTCAACAGCCCCTACTTTGGGCTTCTAGGTCTCCACAGCAGAGCATCACAGTAAATCCAGCTTCTACCTCTTTCTATGCTTGCCCAAATCTGTTCTCCAGAAGACTGAACTGTGGCACTTTCTTTTCCTCCTGTTTGCACTAGTCTAGAATAAATCAACATCTGCTAGCAAGCTTTGTGATAAAGTGAGACCCTTGCAATAAGAGTGTCTATCACTGGATGCAGAATTTTATTACTATGAGAAAAAACAAATTATTGACACCCTTCTGCTTCTCTCCATGCTCCTGCTGGGGACATAACCAAATTACTCCCATCTGCCATCCTGCTTCAAATTTAAAACCAGCACTAATCCATAGATCCTTGCAACTATGATTAATTCTATCTGAGAAGGAAGAAAACCTCAGAATTCAATGAAGAAGTTACCACATACAAAAGAGATGTTGCCTAATAGTGGCCAGCTTTTATTTTATTAGAACTATAACACTGAAATTAGTTACTAATGTTTTGAGGTCTGCCTTTGATCTTAATAATATATGTGGTGAGAATTGGACAAATTGGTAATTGTCTCCAGCTGGAGACAAAGCAGTTGGAGGAGAAGCCATTTCAGGATACTCTGTCATTGCTTAAGTAAATCCTAGGATTAAGAACATGCAAATTTTCCTGGGGGAGGGAAGTGAGAATAGGCATGCAGCGCTGAACAGAAAAATGAACAAAAATTATTGTAGGTGGGCTAGGAACTGAAAATTCTTGATTGTAATTAATTTCAAGAAATTGGAAAATTCAGTTTTTCCCTATTCTGTCTGCCATGAAAGCCCAAGGCTTTTTCACAGGTGCAGTTCCTATCTGAAAGTTTTGCAATAGCTTGGACAGAGAGAAAGAAGAGACATGACAGAGAATTGGTTCTGAAAGTCTCCTCTGCTGTATGTTACGGGTACAAATGAGTAATGCTTCACAATGGGATGTTTGAACCATAGGCTGTAGAACCCTTGTTTCTGTCTGCAGTGCAAGCTGAAATTCTGTGTAAAGGACACCTGTCCTGCTTGCTGAGTAAGATGAGCCCTATCCCCAAAATGTCTTGTTGCTCAGGGGTGAACACACAAAGACTTCTCTAGTCAGCTTGTGCAAATGGCAACAGCTTTCTGGCCTGTTGTGAGTGGTGCCTGAATCCTTCAAGAGTCCTGCCGAAAAAGTCTGGGGAATTCAGGTCAGAGTTTAAACATGTCAAAACTACACTTAAACAAACAAATAAAAAATCACAAGTACTTTTGGAACAGAAGAGATTATGTCTTGTCAGGTTCTACTTTCCAGCTAGATGACAGAAACACCACCTTCAAAACTACTAATAGTAAGACTGGCATTCTTCCAACCAGATTTTATTCCACAAAGACATCCCTTATGGTCTAATTTTTTGTTCTATGCCTATGTTTCATAGAATTATAGAATAGTTGGGGTTGGAAGGAACCTCTGGATCATCTAGTTCCAAGAGACACCTTCCATCATACCAGGTTGTTTAAAGCCCCATCCATTTAATGAATGAAAACTAACAAAAATAAACAAATGAAAGAAACATGCTCTAATAAGTTCAGATGTTATCAACAACAGTTTAAAATAAGCTAGAAATGTTTTCTTTTGCTACTCTGGTTTCAAAAGCAGTAGGGAAAGAACTTGCCTAGAAAAAGGAGAGGACTTGTAGAAGCAGAAGGCATTTGTGGGCTGCAGGGAGCTGTTCTCCATTTTTATTCGTAGAACATACTTTCATGGAACTAAACTGAAGTGGTTTTACTTGTGGCTCACAGACTGGATGTTACTCATATGTGGTAGACACTATGAGGCTGACTTGGCAGGAGCCATCAAACACTTCAGACTGCTCAGCCTCATAACAGGCATGATATGGCCATGGAAAGCATCTTCAGGTTTCTTCACAGTACCTAGTCAGAGCCTGGAAGCTGTTTTGCCTCTGAGGAGGGATTTCTAGTCTTGGGTGTTTGTGGTTAGATGCAGCTCCAGTCTTTCAGACTTAAAGCAGGTGATCATTATTGAAAGTCAGAGGTTCAGCAACTTTCCTGGAAATACTACTTGTCGGTTAATAACAGAAGACCTCAGAATAAAACCCTGGGAGAAAAAAAAAAAGTTTATAGTTCACATAAATCTTCAGGGATTTTCAAAGAGAGAAGGCAATATGCACTAATCCACTGTTTGCTTTACCTTTATTTGCATGATGTGATTTGCAAATGTTAGTTCTTGCTTTGCTCTTTGAATTCCTTGTGAGCTCAATTCATCTCTGTAACTGCAAATATCTAATTCTTTATTTTCTTCTTTTTGTTCTCAGCTCAAGTCCCTTGCTGTCCATTTTCAGTGGTATCTACAAGGATTGGTATTGTTGGGGCAGAGAGAGCAGGAAGGAGACTCAAGTTAGTCGTAACTTCCCCAATCCATTGCTCTTGAAGAATGTGCATTCTAAAATGCATGAGCATCAGCACCTGTGCCCTGCATCTCACTACAGAGCCCTGGGGGTTGACTTGCAGTCCAAAACCACAACCTTACCAAAAGGAGAAACAAAGAGCAGAGATGCGACTGATATCTGTCCTGTAAGCCTGTTCATGTTCTGCCCTTTTCCCATGGAAAGCTCATGGGCCAGATGTGTTGTGAAACTGCTCCTCAGATGTTTCCTATGGATCATCACCACTTCTGCTGCAATGTTATAACAGCAGTTAATTCCCACAGGCTCGGTGGTTGCAATCAGTTTCTCCCAGAGCTTGGAAGAAGCTCATTCTGCCCCTTGCATTCTGCTGCGGGCAGGCTGCCAGTAAACACACCAGTCTGACACAATGTTGGCTCCAGCACCACAGACCCTGCTTCTAGCTCAGCCTGGCCTTGGACCCACATCCCAGCGTGTGTGTGCCAGTGCATTTCAGAGGTGTGACTTACCCTTCACCTCCACTGTGGTTCCAGTGGTGAGGAGACTGCACATCTGCTGCTGACTCTGTCCTGGTTTCAGCTTTAGCACCCAGGACCCCTTTCTGCCATATCCCAATGACAACCCAGAGGCAGGAACTGGAGAGGTAGGCTGTGAAAGGAAACTTTCACTGTTTCCATGAAATTGCAGGAAAAGGAACAAAGTGGCTATTGGAGGACCCTGACATCTTCAACTAGATCAGACTGTTCAGAGCCCCATCCAGCCTGATCTTGGATGATTCCAGAGATAGGACATCCAACACCTCTCTGGGCAATCTGAGCCACTGTTTTATCACACTTACTGTAAATAACTTCTTCCTTATATATAATCTAAATCAGCACTCTTTCTGTTTAAAACCATTAACCCTTGTCCTAATTCCACAGGCCCTGCTGCAATGTCTGTCCCCATCTTTCTGCCTCTGTCCCATCTTGTTCTTCTGAGACATTGTCCTCATCTCCTCTATTCTGATATTGGAAGCCACCGCAGCACATACGTTGGGAATGCGTGTGAAGCTCTGGAACAGCAGAAATCTTAAACAGCTTTCACTGTGTTCCTGCATCCTCATTCCACTTTCGGAAATTATTTGGTAACCAGGAAGTGGGTTTGTGAAAAGCGTACAGCAGATCTGATTTCCCAAGCAGAGCACCCTGCTAGACTTTGGCCTCTGAGGCAGAGCAGAAACCATGGTCTGCTCTGCCCAGCCACCATTAAGGGCCAGGGCAGCACCTCTGAGAGCCAAGGAGTTCTAACACCTACACAGCCACTTCCTCTTACCCCAACACGACAGACTCCTCCCCCTCAACAGCACCCAAACCGGCAGTGCCTTGTCATTGTCACAGTAAATATACAGCCAGCATCATCTCAGCATGGGTAAAGCTCCTCCAATGCCAGCGAGAACGTCTTGCACCAAAGCAGCAGCGTCAACCCCATTGTTTTGGAAGCTGTGTAGATGGAAAAAGACAAGATCTGCAGGTGGAACAAAAAGCCCAAGGAAAATTAACTGAAAAAATTATTCAGTAAGAGTTCAAAGCCTGCATGTGGGATTAAAGTGGTCTTATGATTGATAATTCTAAGAAATTATTCAGTAATAGTTCATCCTATGCAATGGGTTCTCTGCAATGAATGCAAACAGCATCCATGAGAGCCAATAAAAATTATGTACCAGACATTCAGATTAGCTCTCTCTGCCTTTGGGTAATTATGTACCCAAGTAAGAACTTTCAACTGGAAGAAAAGTCTTTCTCAATGATCACATGCTAGTTCAGCTCACCCGAGATACAGGTCTGTTGAGGGATTTGGAGCATGGCACCACAGCTCACCCACATGTTATCACTGCTTCTCCAACTAAAACACAAGATCCTATTGATATAACAGATCTCCCTTTTTCATGCTTGAAATCCACATGCAAAACAGTGTTCAAAGAAAACTGAATAGCTTTCAAATTTCTTGCTTTGAGGCATTTACAACATCTGATTTAGAATCTGACTGAATTGCCCCAGAATAGCTACTGTCCCTTGTATATTGATATCCTTCTGCCTTAGGGCTTAATACTCCTTTCTCTGAACCCAGTGGCCAACTTTACTTTTATAGACCCTTAATATTTATGGAAGAGCATTAAATCTCCTATGGAAAGTGCTGATACTATTGTTTTTCAGCTTGGTGGTGAGGAGCACTGCCTAGGATCCACTGGGAGCCTGTGGTACCTTGCTGAAATACTGAAGATATTGATGGGTACACCAGCTTTAAAATGCACTGACATACACAAGGCTTTCAAGAAAGAGCAGGAAGATTGCTCAGATAATGCTCAGTAGAGGGAAGGCTGGAGGCATAGATGCTGCCAAAATCTTAGGACAGCCTTGTCCTGGGGATTTCTGAACTGTGATCAGAGATTCAAGAACACCTGAACTCTGAGCAAGCCCACAGGCTAGTTCCAATTCTTGTCTTAGCCAAGAATCAGAAAATTTCACCTGCTTCACCTGTAGGAGTAACACAAGTTCATAAAGTAGAACTTGGTTGGCTGTACAAGCACCTTAACACAATAACAGCTCCTTAAGCCCATCTAGTTCTTCTGCCTGTTTTGTATCTTGAAGTTAGTTGCAGATGCCCTAAAATGCATTATTACTCAATACAGTGAAGTAGATGAAGTGATACATGAAATAAGCCAGACGTAGGGGTGTCCCAAATTCAGAAGCTCCAAGGCTTCCTATGATTAAGAAATCATTTCCACTTAGCTCCTATTTGTGAGTTGTCACCAAATTCCAACTATGCTAGGGGGAAAAAGCATTGATAATAATTTTAATTCCTACTATTTCTGTTCAGTGCAGAAATTGCTTTGCTGTTAAAGCTTAACAGCTAAAGAGAGACTGAAAAAATGAAGAGGTTGTCTGTCAGTGGGAGGTTGATCCTGGCTGGACACCAGGTGCCCCAAAGCTCTTCTATCACTGCTCTCCTCAGCTGGACAGAGACAAGAAAACATAACAAGAGGTGTCAAAAACATGCCTACGTAGGAGGAAAGGAAGATAAAATGGGTTCAGACAGCCCAGCACTTTACCCCTTGTGATTAAATAGTGTCCAAATATCTAAGCCAAATAATTTCAAATATTGCAAGGGAGAGGGGGCAGCAGAATCAGAAGAAAAGTTTGAAAGACTTCACATTACTATTTCTACCTGACCAGCTGTACCAGCCTTGCCATGCTGGCTAGAGGAATCCAGATTTTAAAAGACCCTTAAGTGCAAGAAACCAGACTAGGTCAGGACAGAACTACACTTTCTAAGGGAATATGGCAATAAAATTAAACACTGAAAGTTTTCACTGAAAAGCCCAATTCAGAGCAGATTAGTTTCAGTTCTTGACAATTTGACATTTACATTGATAAGCTCTTTTTTAAATTGGAATATGTTTTGAGAGAAACATATGGCCAAATCTCAAATGATTTTCCACACCTCCTCTTTCCCTTTCTTTCCAGATGCTTTATTGACTGCCTTACTAAACAGTGACTTTTCTAAGTTATTTCTATGAGAAATTCCTTCAGTTTCATGGGAAGTGGTCTCTTTGAAGGAAAGAACTTTGATTCTCCAGATCTTCAGAGGCAAGGGAATAGTTTGTCATAACTGACACCAGAGGTCAATTACTTTTCTGTGATTAAAAGGAAACATGTAAACATCACTAGAGGCCGAGGCAGACATCCACTTTTGAGCATTACTTTCTAGAAATAATTTCAGTAGACATCATGTACACATTATTTAAGAAGGGAGAGAGAGATCCTCTGGAGGGAAGGAGCCACCTATCTTGTTTGGTCATTTCATCCTGTAGGCACCCTGAGGTGCAGGGTTATCTCTACTTGGGACTAAATCCTCCTTGCTTTGGTCACATTACACATCCAGCATATCCTGGCAGCCCTGCCCTCACATCTATCCCAAATGCCATCACCAAAACAAGCTTTCGTTCTCACCACTCCAGGGATGACAAACATTTCTTGAATACTTCACGTAGAATTGTGCCTCACCTCTGCTGTGGAGAAACTTCATCTTCTTCCAGTTTTTAACTGGAACATTTCATGGTTTGGGAGACAGAATTACAGGAATAAAGTACTGTCACCTTCAAATTCTGGAAGAACTGCCTCTAAAGTTACCAATCATTCTAATGTCTTCCCTTAGTGGCTATGCTGCATGAGCGACACCAGTCCCCAGCTACAGGCACATGTGAAATGTTACACAATGCTCTTGGCTGTGTCTGTACTTGTAAACTGAACAGCAGCAGGCCTTGTCCTAAGAACTGCAGAATGATCATCTACTCTCTTCTTCTTCTAGTGTTACTTCCATTTCAACAATGCAGTTACCATGACATTGTGCAAAAGTGATTTGTTGAAACCTGTCTAAAATATCCCAGATAGAGGATATTTATTTGCCGTGGAGATCTGTTTAAAATATTGCCTCATTTTCAGTGCAACAGTGTCATAGTCCCATTGGGCAATCTACAATTTACATCTGGGAAAGGAGAAAAACAAAGTACCTATGATGAAACTTCCCTTTTGATTCAGTTTACAAGAATATCAGCAGAACCCCAACAGACAAGGTAATTACTTTTCAAAATACTGTCACTTGCATAAGACTATTAAATCCTCACAAGTAGGGTCTTTCTTGACACATGCTGTATGCACTCCACTTGTAGCATATTATAAGGGTTAAAAAACAAAAAAATGCATTTACAGAAGAAATGCTGGTAAATGGAAAGGACATAATATTCATTATTGAAATGAGAAAATATATAATTTGGATGCTTTTGAATGCTAAATGTTTTGTGTAATTGTACATAATGTAACTGCATGTATACAACGTACATTGCAATTATACTAATGCTTCAGGTAAAATTATTTTTAAAAATATAAAATACACGGTCCCAGTCAAAACACCCAGACCTTAGTGATGGAGAGCTAGCACAGCAGTATACATACACAAAGAGCAGAAGTGGATTTTGAGGGGTTTAAAGCAACCATGTGCTGCCTGTATGTACAGGTGTGTGCATCAGCTCTCTGTATCTCCAAGCTCACACAAATCCTTTCTGCTGAAGATGTACCCATACACAGCCAGTCTATTATTACCATTTTAGTGCTCATTCTCAAATCTGTGCTGTATCTGTACAAATTTGTAGCAGAGATCCTGATATTAACAGAAAAAAGTGGAGTGTAGAGAGAAGTGCTCCAGAAGAAAGAGCCAGATGTTCAAACAAAATAATAAGTAGGAGAGAAAGCTTTGGCAGAAACTGCTGTAGGGAAGGGAAGGGTGGTTCCAGGAATTGGGAGTATAAATTCTGATTAGGGCTGGGCTGGTATTTCCCACTTCAACTGCCTAGTTTTCTCTTTAATGAGGAAATGAAATTTTTACTTTTGCCACTACTCAATGAAGAATTAACTGGGAACAAGGACTTGCCTTCATAGGTAAACTGATCCAAATCTCTATAGGTAATCATAACCCACTGAATGAGAGCATTTCAACTTGTACCTGATTTTACTGCAAAATTATTGTTCTTCAACTCTAA